GCCTGGGCGGGGGTCCGGGGGGGGGCGGGGGCCCGCAGCCGGGCCAGGTGGGCCGGCGCAGGGCCTCGGGGGTGGGAGTTTTAATACATGTGACGATACGTGTGAAGCCTTCGAGCTGTGTACAGGGCAGAGCAGAATTTCAGAAGTGCTATTTATTTATTCTTTAATGATAGCAGGGATTGTGGCCTAGGTTATCAGTCCTGAGTGCCAAGCATGGTGCCTGGAGCTTGGTAGGCGCTCTGGAACCATTTGTCATTGGGATGAAGAAATGGGGGGATTGCACAGTCATCCTAACGTGAACCAGAGTGTGTGCTCTGTTCTGGGAGGGGTGAAGAATTTTGTCTGTAGGCCTAGAAGGGATTTCTTTATGGTGGTAATTATGTTAAAAGAAGGGCCCAAAGCATGCACCCACTGTCAGCGGGAGCAGGAGGTGGCAGGGCATCTGTGCTAAGAGGCAGCAGAGAATATGGGCGAAGAGCCTAGGCTAGAGCCAGGCTGCTGGGCTGGACCCTGGGCGAGCTCCTTTACTCCTCTGTAGCTTAGATAAGAGACCGTACTGTGGCATTTATAGATAATGGTATCACCTCAAGGGATTATTCTAAGGGCTCCGCGAGTTATTCTTTGTAAAGCACTTAGAACAGTGCCTGTAAATAAAAGAAACTGCCCAGAGATGTGAGCATGTGGACAGCAGGGAATACGAACATGGTCGATGCAGCTAGAAAGGTCTTTTGCAAATAGTTCATGAGGTCTTGGAATGTCATTCTTAATGAGTTTGGAATTTGCCCCTGAGGAGCACATAAAATCCGTCCCCAAATGGCTGAAGCCCAGTGGTGGCTGCCCAATTTAAATAGGGCATGAACACCCCCATTTGCCCCAATCCCAACACCCGCTACACCCCCCCCCTTCCTTCTGCAGAAGTTCTGAATCAGTAGGTTTGGGGATTTCTAAGTTCCTGGGTTGTTGACTGCAGCTGGTCCAGGACCACCCTCTGAGAACCATGCTCTGTCATGCCTTGGACACGGAGTGGGGCTCTGCCTCCATTTATCATCAAGCGTGTACTGTGGTACCTCTCATGCCTGACACGTTTCCTGGCCCTGGTGGAATGTGAATTTGCAATTTTTGGTATACTCAATATTGTTTAGTTTCCATATGATTGTGTATTTTTGTGTTTTTTTTTTCTTTCTGAAATTAATATCAAGTTTAATTCCACATGGTCAGAGAAGATGCTGGATATAGTTTCTATGCCTTTGAATCTGTAGAGGCTTGTTTTGTGCCCTTTCATATGGTCAATCTTCGAGAAGGTTCCATGTGGGTCATGGGAAAAAAAACATTTTTTTTGAGAGTTTTATTTTGCTACAGGGTGCGTGCACTCGCCAGAAAGACAGAGACAGAAAGCGAGAAATCACCCCCCAGGGGGGATGGCCACACCGCAATCCCTTCTCCTCCTTTCTCCTCTTGGGATCTTGGGCATGCACACACACATGCCCGGCATGAGTTTAAGCCACGGGTCCGGGCCGCGAATTGCGGTCGACTACATGGGAGTCCAGCGACATGGCCATTAAGCCAACTGCTGGTCTCTATATTTTGTGGTTTTTGGGTGGAAGGTTCGATAGATGTCTGTTAATGATTTATGGAATCGTTTAGATCCTGTATCTCCTTGTTTATTTTTTGCCTTGATGACCTGTCTTAAGGTGACAATGGGGTGTTGAGGTCCCCAACAATTAGTGTGTTGCAGTCTGTTCCTCCTTTTAGACCTAACAGTCTTTTCTTCATGTGTTTGGGTGCTCCTGAGTTGGGTGCACTGTGCCACCTGCCGGCCCCACAGTTTTTGTTTTAAAACCTATTTTGTCTGAAATTAGTGTCATGACTCCAGTCCTTTTTTTCGTGTTTTTTTCCCATGGAAAACATTCTTTAGCTCTTCACTCTTGGTCTATGTGTGTCTTTAGCCATTAGGTGCGTTTCTTGTGGGCAGCAGAGAGAGGGTTTCTGTTGTTTTCATCCGTCCACCCAGTCTGTGTCTCTCGATTGGAGAAATAAATCTGTTAACATTCAATATTCTTGAGATTTCTGGAGTTGTCCCTACCATTAAGTTGGCCATTTTCTTGGTTGTTTTTTATTCTCTTCTGTCTGCCTCTTTCAATTTTTTTTGATTGTTCAAACAAATTTACTCAGTATTGATTAACTACAAAATTTCATATGCAACACATGGCCACTATTACAGGATTTGGCCTTCTAGAGAAATATGTAAACAGGCATTCTATTAAGATTCTGCCTTCTGGGAACCAGCAGTTAGCGTAATGGCTATGTTGCTGGACTCCCAGGTAGTCAACTGCGGTTCGCGTCCCAGACCCGTTGGCTTAAAACTCACGCCAGGCACGTGTGCGTACGTGCCCAAGATCCCGAGAGGAGAATGGAAGAGAAGGGATTGTGGCGTGGTCATCCCCCCCGGGGGGTGAATTCTCGCTTTCTGTCTCTATGTCTCTGTCTGTCTGGCGAGCGCACGCGCCCTATAGCGAAAAACCTCTCCAAAAAAAAAAAAAAAAAAGAAAAGATTTGCTCTATGAAAACTCTATTAAATTGACCGGTATATTTGGTGTTAGACGTGGGATCTGAAGTAGAGCTTCCAGTGACGCCAAAAGTTCCAACAGGTTTTTAATACGAGAGTGATTTTATAAACTCAACTTTTTGCCTTAACATTTTTCTATGAAGTCTAATTTTTGACCAAAAGAAGACACAGGTTTCTCATTAAACTTTGTTTTAATGGATCTCAAAATTCTGTGGCAGATTTTTGGTCAAGTAGTTTCCATTAAAAAGTACCGATTTAAAAAACTAATAACTTAAAACTGCCACACACACACAAATGAAATGGTCTGGCTCTTTCAATTTTTCATGGTCTAGCACTGTCCTCAGAATTTCTCTTCTTTTCTTTTCTTTTTTTTTTTAGAGGTTTTTGCTATAGGGCGTGTGCACTCGCCAGACAGACAGAGAGAGACAGAGAGATAGAAAGGGAGAAATCACCCCCCAGGAGGGATGGCCACACTGCAATCCTTTCTCCTCCATTCTCCTCTCGGGATCTTGGGCATGCACGCACATGCGCCCGGCGTGAGTTTAAGCTACCGGCTCCGGGACACGAACCGCGGTCGACTACATGGGAGTCCAGCGACATAGCCATTACGCTAACTGCTGGTCCCTGGCCTCAGAATTTCTTGAGAAAATGCGAAATGCTTCACGATTTGCCATCCTCCTTGCGCAGCGGCCACGCTACTGTTCTCTGTACCGTTCCGGTTTTGGTACACTGCTGCCGAAGCGGGTGCGGTATAAGCCGTGTGGTGAGGGCTGGATCTAAAGATCACCAAAGACTCAGGGGCCCTAGAGAAAGAGACGTGGGCGTGGCTGAGGCTCAGCCTGGAGCAGACCTGTGGGAGCGGAAGCTGTGGGTATGTATGACCTGATCCCCGGAAGAGGGTGTGGAGAAATGGGTCGTGGGTGGACAGCAGAATATCAAGGGGCCCTGGCACACCCCGCCTTAAAGGAAAGGGAAAGCATAGCCACGCTTTAGGGATGCCTGCGGAGGAGGAGGGTTGCTGAGAGACACCTGCTGCTGGCGAGTCCTGTCCTTATGTTAGAGAGGACTGTTGGCAAGCAGCAAAGCTTAAATAGTTAAGCAGGGACGTGCTCAGGTGAACTCGGCCTCTGGGAGGACAGAAGCAGGTGTCCCGTTACCCTAGCTGCCCGGAAACCTGCCGTTGCCCAAGGCACAGCTTGTTGTGAGCAGCGTCTCCCAGGCTCCTGCAGCTCGGGTGCAGCTCGGAGCTTCGCATGGTGAGTATCGTGTCACCCAAGGCCTTTTCTTAAAAAACTCTCGTCGGAAGGTACATATGCTTGTCAAGGAGACACAGAGAAAGGGAGAGAGGGAGAGAGGGAGAGAGGGAGAGAGGGAGAGAGGGAGAGAGCAAGATCCCCTGTCCTGGGGAATGGTCACACCTCAGCCCCTTCTCTTTTTCTCCACCCTGTTGTTGGGATTTTAAGGCGCACACGCACACATGCTTGGCATTTTAAAAAATAATTCTTTATGTAATTTGATGTATCCTTATTATTATGTTTTAATTTGCTACAGGGCATGCGCTCTCCAGAGAGAGACAGAGAGAGAGAGAGAGAAAGAGAGCACGAGAGAGAGAGAAAGTGAGAAAGCACGCCGCTAGGTCAGGGACCTGAACTGTGGTTGGCCCTGTAGGGGTCCAGCGCCTTAACCACCATGCCACCTGCTGGCCCCCATGCCTGGCATTTTTTTTCATGTCACCGGGGCCAGGACTTGAACTATGGGGTTGACCATGTGGGGTCTGGTTTCTTCAACCACCGTGCTAGGAAACCGGCTCTGGATGGTTTCCTTTTGGAGTACGTGCTGGGGGAGAGCACCTGAGAAAGGGGAGGGTGGGCGCTGAGACTGAAAGCTGGGGCCAGTGGCATCCTCTGGGTTGACTCATACCATGGCAAGGAACCACGCTAAGCTCTGGAGTGGGGAGGAGGTGTGTGCTTAATGCACCTTAGCAGCCCCTGTGATGCGCTGGGCATAGTATAAATGAAAGCACGTGGGGCCAGCAGGTGGCATGGAGGTTAGGGTGCGGATCTCACATGGCTGACTGCGTGGTTCAAGTCTCAGACCTGCTGGCTTGAAAATCATGCTGGGTGTGTGTGCCCCAAATCCTGAGGAGAATGCAGGAGAAATGATTGTGGCATGGTCATCTTCCCTGGGGGTTGATTTCTCACTTTCCCTCTCTCTCTCTCTCTGTCTCTTTCCAGGGAGTACATGTGACCTATAGCAAGAACTAAAAACAAACAAAAAAAAGGGGGGCGGGGAGAAAAAGGAAGGGGGAGTGAGTGAATGAATAAATTGGAAGTTGGAGAGATAAGCAGTGACCAAGCAAAGTTTCAGGAGGAATAGCCCCCAAAACAATGCTGAGTGGTTCCCAGCCCACAAGGTTTGGAGCCGATGCCTCTACAATGCGCATGTGCTCTGGTCTCCCTGCCTGGGGTAAGCCCTGAGCCTGTGCAGACGCAGTTTGCTCTGTGTGGATTGGGAATGCTGGGCCAGTCTGCAGGCCTGTACGCAGAGTTCGCATCTAGCTCTGAGCCCGGCACACCCTGCAGGGCAGCAGCGTCGTTACCCAGTGCCTTCTCCCCGCATGTCCTATTCCCAGCACCCTGTGAGGTCGCAGGGTTGACCTGTCACTGCTTCACAGATGAAGACAGGCTCACGGAGGCCAGGGGCCTTTCCTGGAGGCCCTTCCCTTCTTCGCCAGCCCTGCAACCATTTCCCCATGGCTTTCCCCCTTTGTGAGGTCAATGACCTTTCCCCTCCGACTCTGTTGCTAAAAATCTGACTCAGAGGATCTAGAGAGCACTTGACCGAATTGGGTAACATATCCATATCTTGTCACCTCAGTTAGATTCTCATTTCCTCAGGGGCAGAGATTGTATTTTTTCCTTTACAAGGTAATGAAAATACTTATTCTTAACAGAGAGGATGGAGGAACTTACAGTACAGAGAGAAAGTGGAAAAACGAAAGTCTTCTAATTTATATCCCCTCTTCCTGCAGGTAGCCATTGCTAACAGTTTCTTGTCTATCTTTCTAGAAACAGTCTATGCTTATTAAATAATATATAAGTAAACCCTATATGAGTCATAAATGAGTATATTTTATTATAAAGCAAATGATAAATACAATGATTTATATATGTGTGCATTTGTGTGTGTGTGTGTGTGTGTGTGTGTGCGTATACACGCAGATGGTCTAATTAGCACCATCGACCCGTGTAAGGCCTGTCTAGCCATCCATCTGGTCACCTCCCACCCACGCACCGTCATCTATTTATTTACCTCCACTTCACGCTTCTACTTTCCTTCTCGTAGGCAGCCTTTCTAATGTGAACACACACACACACACACACACACACACACACACACACACCTTTTATTTTTGTGAATTAATATTAAATTTGACAATATTAATATATCATGAAAACAAATGCATTTATATATGTGGGGGGGGTTCTTTCAAAAAGTTCATGGGAAATATGTATAATGAAAACATTTTGCTGGGACTACCAGTTGTCATAATGGCTGTGTCACTGGACTCCCATGTAGTCGACCGTGGTTCAAGTCCCGGACCTGGTGGCTTAAACTCACACCAGGCGCATGTGCATGTGTGTCCAAGATCCCGAACGGAGAATGGAGGAGAAGGGATTGTGGTGTGGGCATCTCCCCTGGGGGATGATTTCTTGCTCTCTCTCTCTTTCTGTCTTTCTGGCAAGTGCATGTGCCCTACAGCAAAAATCCTTCTTAAAAAAATAAAACCTGGGACCAGCAGATGGTATAATGGCTAACAAACTGCTGGGCTACCCCCGAGTTCGACCGCGGTTCGTGTCCCGGACCTTGTGGCTTAAAACTTACGTCGGGCACGTGTGCGTGCGTGCCCAAGATCCTGAGAAGAGAATGGAGGAGAAGGGATTGCGGCGTGGCCATCCCCCTTGGGGGGGTGATTTCTTGCTTTCTGTCTCTCTCTCTCTCTCTCTGTCTGGCGAGCGTACACGCCCTATAGCAAAAATCCTCTAAAAAACCCCAAACAAACAACAAACAAAACAAAACAAAAAACTGCATAGATTTCAAAATGCTTTTGCACCAAAATAAACTCATACTTTAATTCCATTTTTCCACACATTTCCAAAGTCCCTTGTGTGTGTGTGTGTGTGTGTGTGTGTGTGTGTGTGTGTGGCTACATATCGTGGAGATGATTATTCTGTATAGATACATGTAAAGCTGCCTTATACTTATCAATAGCTACCCGTGTTCCATTGCATAGAGATACCGTTGGTATCCCTATTGGACTTTGTCCTTCTACTTTTTCTTGTACTTTACTTTTTTAAAGAATTATTTAATTTTATTATTATTTTAATTTACTATAGGGCATCTGCACTCACCAGAAAGAAACAGAGAGAGGAAAAGTGAGAAAGCAAGCTGCCAGGTCCAGGACTTGAACTGCGATCAACCATGTAATAGTTCAGCACTCTAACCACCACCCCAAATGCTGGCCCCAACTTGTACTTTATTTTTACAAACAATACTACAATGATAGGTTTTTTAAAAAGAATTAGTCAATTATATTTGGTATTATTATTATTTTAAAATTTGACCAGAGAGAGAGAAAAGGAAAGTGAGAAAGCAAGCCTCCTGGTCCATGACCTGAACTGCTGTTGGCCATCTGGGAGCACAGTGCCCCAGCCACCATGTCACTGGCTGGTCCCCCAATGACAAGTTTTTCACAAGCACTTTTGCGTACAAGAGTTTGTCTATAAGGTAAACTGTAATTCTTAGTAATGGAATGTTCATCTTAAATTCCCCCTGATGGAGACCAGCAGATGGCATGGTGGTTAAGGTGCTGGACACTCCCACATGGCCAACCACAGTTCGAGTCCTGGACCTGGTGGCTTGCTTTCTCATTTGCCCTCTCTCTCACTCTCTCTGGTCAAATTAAAATGAATAAAAATTAAACAAAATAATTCTTAAAAAAATTTTTTCCATTGATATTGTCAAATTGTTTTTCAAAGAGAACTGTTTCTATTCCTATGAAGGCTGGTGAGTAGACTGAATCTTTTAGCAACAAACTGAAACTTTTTTTTGTTAAACTGTGAGTTTAAAAGGGAGAAAATCATCACAGATTGCACCCTCCTAGCAGGGTGGATGTCACCGCATTCCCCTCCCGCTGGAGAGACCGGTGATGACCTTGCTGGGGAAGCTGGGACGCGTTCCGCTAGAATCCTGTTGACATAGGAGAGGGCCAGGCAGACATCGGGAGCTTTGCCCCATGGCGATTTGATGCGCTTTATCCCGAGGCGAATGGAGGGCTGGAGAACCGTCCCTCCGTCTGACAGCTGCTCCCTGACAAGGACCTCTGCCAGGCACTCTTGCAGTGGAGGTGGGCATGGGGGTGGCGCGAGGTGTGCTCGGCGTGAGGCTGGGCGCTTTGCCTGCCTCACTTCTACCCGGAAGCCTGCAGAGTGGGCCCTACGATGCTCCATATGCACGGGAGGCTTGGCGGTGTGGAGGCGCTTGCCCAGGCAGGGGATTCGGATCCACATCTGTGTGACCGCCACACTCACAGCCTCCCTCTCTGGTGCTCCACGATGTCAGTGCATGCCACGACCCTGCTGCGGTACAGACACCTGCTCCCCGCAGCCCTGCAGGTGTGCAGCGTGCACAGCTGCCTGGCCTTGCCTAACTTAGACCCTCTCCTCTCGTTCCAGGCCTTCTCTCGGCTCTTTGACCTGCTGCCGTGGCCTTGGTGGTGCCCTTCTCCAGTGGTCAGCCCCGGGCTTCCCCCACCCATGCAGTCCTCAGTGACTACTGCCGAGGGCCTGAGCAGCCCCCTCTTTGGGGCCCACGCACTCCCCACCTTCAAGTTCCAGCCGCGCCGTGAGACTGTGGACTGGAGGCGCATTAGCGCCCTGGACGTGGACCGCGTGGCCCGGGAGCTGGACGTGGCCACTCTGCAGGAGAACATTGCTGGCGTCACCTTCTGCAACTTGGACCGGGAGGCGTGCAGCCGCTGCGGCCAGCCGGTGGACCCGGTGCTGCTGAAGGTGCTGCGCCTGGCCCAGCTCACCATCGAGTACCTGCTGCACTGCCAGGACTGCCTGAGCGCCAGCGTCGCCCAGCTGGAGGCGCGCCTGCAGGCCAGCCTTGGCCAGCAGCAGCGTGGTCAGCAGGAGCTGGGCCGCCAGGCTAGCGAGCTGAAGGGCGTGCGGGAGGAGAGCCGCCGGCGCCGCCAAATGATCAGCACCC